CCACTTCTGGTTTAGAAGGCACTGCTGGATCCTTATAATAGATCTTTTCACAATAGGCTCTTAATTAATGCACTTGGGCGAGTTGCTTCAACTTAATCTGAAAACAGATTCCTAATGGGTTCCTAACAGGCTGCGAGTGCATGAAAAACTGAAGGCGAAATGGGAAGGCTTGGGGAAGAAGAGGAAGCATCTGTCAAGCTGGAAAAGTGAGGATAGGGTAGAACTTGGGAAAGGAGGAGATGGCTGTGGACTGGGAAAGGGAGAACACTTGGACCCTCTCAAAACTCTGAACTCTCTACTTCAGGCTCAGATTTTGACCCAACTCTGCCAAGGATCAAGTCCAAAGCAATATCAGGACTCTGCAGTCCTCAATGCATGAAGTCTTGTACTCCAGACCATGCCAAGTGTCAGTGAACACAATGTTGTTTTGGTCAAAAAGGCATAAAATGGATATTTCTTTTATTTGAGCTTGTGCTCTGAATGTGAATATGCACACATTTAATTCCTGTTTGTTTCCAGGATTAACATTTAAAAATGTTAACTGTGCTTGCTATCTTGATTTGAAAAGTTAAGAACCACCCAGGGACCAATAGTGGACAACAAAAGATCCCGAAATTTGACAAGCTAGAAGACTATCCTCTTTGGGATAGGGTATGGGCTAGATGGGCTAGAGGCCTGAGCTTCTCCTGGAGGTCAACATGGCCACACCCTCTTGGCCCACTTGGCATTTGGGGTGGGATCATTCTCTGGGATGGGGGGCTGTCCTATGCATCACTGTGTGTTCAGCATCATCCCTAACCTCTACCTGCTAGTAGTGCCCTCCATTTCTGACAATGAAGGTCTCCAGATAGGTGCCAAGTGTCCCTTGGGGAAAGGGAGGGTAAGACTGTATTGTTTAAACACAGCACAGAGACCCAAAGCAGACTCAGGTCCTGGCTGTTCCAGGAGTCTCCTGTGGGCCAATCCCACTATGTCCAGTCTCCCCTCCTGCCTGTGTGCAAGACTCACTTTCCAGCCAGGCCCTTCTGGACTGACATCAACCCTTCTGTATCACAGGTAAGCATAATCAAGATCGGCTGATCGGCTGATTCAGCAACTCATATGAAGCTGACTTTGCTCTTCTGTAGTATCAGGGAACTTAAACAATTTCTGTGTGCTTCATTATTAAAATGAGAGGGAAAAGGGTGAATTGCCAGTCTCCTTTCTTTCTGATGAAAATGTTTTTACTCACCATGTTCCTAGAAGTTGGGGATTTTGGAGTCTACTACTATATATATATTTTTTTGATATACTGACAATTATAAGGACAAACTTAGGGCACTCATTTTACAGGGTCCATGTGTTTCCTTTTTGTTTCCAGCAGCTCAGTTACCGGTATTGAATGGTTTCTTTGAAGCCATGTTTTGAGAAAGATTACACCCCTACCCATCCCTATTTTTTTTCTTATTTTCATCTGAAGCCAGTCTACCAACAAGGACTCCTAAGGCTCCTGTGACCTCATGATTATGTGAAAAGACAGGCTGTCAGGCCAAGACCTGCAGACAGTTTTTCTTGTTGTTTATTTGTTTTTTTAAAAAATCTTGCTACTAAACTGTATAAAACCTTTTCCAGTTGAAGGTCCGGTGAGTTGTTTTTGTCTACACCCAATTCAACCAAAGCCTTGAAGCCCTCAAGAATTCTGTTCAAGTCTCAGCTGGAAACTCAGGCTCCACATGCAAACAGCCAGCTTTCCCATCCTTTCCTCCTGCTTTTGCCTGCTGATCACGCCAATCAAGAACTGTGGAGCAACAGATGAATAAGATAAAGGAGCAGCGCCTCTCAAACCTCAATGTGGACATGAATCACCTGGGGACCTTGTTCAAGGTTCTGATTCTGATTCAGTGGGTCTGGGGTGTGGTACTGCTAACAAATGCCAGGTGGAGCAGATTTGGGGCCTTGGACCACGCTCTGAGCCACAGGCATTAAAGTAATGATCTCACTCATCAAGCTGCTCCAGAAGCCAAATCTAGAGCTACTTGAAATTCTGTAGCCTAACAGCCTTTCCTTCAAAAGGTTTCTTCACACTCCAAAGCCCTGAGCTTGCTAGTTGTTTCCCCACCTGCAACTCCACTGCCTAGAATGCTGTTCATTTTTCCCCACAGTCCCTTATCCCTCTAATTTCTTAAAATGTCTGGGTTGGACCGCATCCCTCAAGATGTTCCTGAGCCCCTCCTAACCAAAAACAATGATACCCACTGTGGCTGAGCAATTTGCAGTCAACAATAAGCTTGTAACTTCTCAAGTCCAAAGATCTGCATTCGGTTTAGGAAATTTCCCTTGAAAGAATGTCAGCAACCCCGTCCACAGTCTGCTTGCCAAATGTGTGTCTCTTGGTATTTTTTGTTTGCTTGCTTACTGCACAGGTGCCTTGTTTTGGAACTCTGTCTACATGCCTGGTGCTCTGACCAGTCTAGTGTTTCTCTCAATGGCTAGGATTATAATTCTGTGTTTTTGTAATGGTAGTCCCCGGCATGAAGTCCCTGGCATGTAACAGGATTAATATTTAGCACGTGAAAATTAAATTTTAGAGAAAGCAATTTGGTAATCTGTATTAAAGGCTTTAGAGATATGTGTATCTTGTGGCCTAGCAATTCTATTTTTAGGAGTCAATTTAAAAAATCAGATATAAGTGAGTTTTTAAAAACACAGTATTTTATGAGTTAAACATTGGAAACATCTTAAATATCCAATTATAATGGAATGGTTATAAGTTATGCCTAAATTCATATTTGCAGCTTTAAAAACCACATTTTCTAGCTGGGCTCTCAGCCTGTAATCCCGCGCTTTGGGAGGCCGAGGTGAGTGGATTGCCTGAGCCCGCGG